GGGAGGCGTGGGAGGAAGGGGCTCAGGAGGGGAATTGACTGACCCGGGATTGGGAAAAACGACATAATTAAAAATAATAGGGAGCATCAGGCCAGTTTCAAATTTTGCCGGTTAGGTAATGGCCTACTGAGTAAAAGCATAATCGTTATGTATCTCCGATGTTATACGCTCATTCAATCATCTGTTAAGTCGTATTTGCATAGATCCGTTTTCATTAAATACAAACTGAGTTATGACTTTTTTGAGGATTGATGAAACATGATTTTGGGTTTACAAGGAGACAACAATAGGCATATTTAAAAATGAAATATACTTTAGTAAAGGACCAAAGGCATTGGATTGTCAGTGTTGTTTCTCCTGCAAATATAATTCATAGTATAAATGTACCTTCTGTTCAGCATTGACACACAAAAACAGGTGATCCTTATTTTGTGAGGGGGGTTCCCTTGTGTTAGCTGCTGCCGCAGTGCATTGGAGGGTAATGAAAGGAGAAAGGAATGATGTTACTAAAATCTAAATTCAGCTATCTTTCCTTCAAATAAGATTCAAGTGGAGGAAAATCGGACAAAGTTAAAGAAAGTTGGAGGTGTATGTTGGACTCTAAATATAAATGATTTAAAATTTGCTTGCAATGAGACTATTTAAATTGCTTTAGTGTTCATTTTGTTATTTTTGTTTATATTATATTACAGCAGTAAGGCCACATTATTATTACCAAGTCTACTGACTGTATTGTTTTCTTATATTTTGCAAGTCACAGAAAACGATACAATTGTGATAAGGGTAAACTCGACCATCTGTACTATTAATAGTAACAATTTCTCAGATGGAGAAAATTATTTTTGAAAAACTTCATGTATTGCCTGGTTAATTTGTAGTCAGTCTTTTTGCTGGATTTAAGTCTTTCCCTCCCCCTAAAAGAGTTAAAAACAACAGTGCCTATTAATATGCTTTAATACTTAAAGACTGATACGAGTTTTTATTTATAGTTTTAATACTGAGGTATATTGAAAATGTTTTCCTTTACATTTGTCCCTTTCACAGCCTATATGTGTTTTTTTAAGCAAGTAGCAAAGTAGATTAAAAGGAAAAAGCTTTTATGAAATTTTTTTTTTTTTTTTTTAAGACGGGATTTCACCATGTTGGTCAGGCTGGTCTTGAACTCCCAACCTCAGGTGTTCCGTCAGCCTTGGCCTCCAAAGTGCTTGGATTATAGGCATGAACCACTGCGCCCGGCCAGCTTTTATGAAATTAACTTTACAGTGATAAAAAGGAAATGAAAATAAAAGTAATTAAAAAAAGAGTCACCATACCAAAAAAAACCCCAACAACCCAGTTTACCAGACTTTTCCTCATATTGTAAAGACACATTTTTACATAATTGTGATCAGTGTCCATTTTATGCTTCATTTATTTTAACATTTAAAAATGTACTTGTGTATTTGAATAGTCATCATTATTTTAATGGTAAGAAAAGATTCAGTTGTATTTAAGGTGCTATGTTATTTGAACCAAGCTTCCAGTTGAGCATTTGAGTTGCTTCCAGATTTTTACTAATATCTTTGCATAGTTAGGTGATCTTTTTCTGCTTTTTATTTTCTCCCCTATCCCTGCTGCCCCCAGTTACTTTCTTGGACTTTATTCCCTAAATTGGAGTTATCAGGTCTAAGGGTCTCATGAATTTTATAGCTCTTGTCATATACTGTTTGTCCTTCAGAAGATTGTACTAATTTATAATGTCATCATCTAGGTATTTATAGTGAGTTTTTTATAATTTTAAATCATTTGGTTTCT